TTGTAAAGGGATGGTCGTAAAGATAGCGACGGAACTTCTGCACCGACCAAACCACAGCCGGACACTCTTGCTCAGTTATCGTGTAGTTCTTTTCGGCAGAGGTGAGTACGCTACTGGCATATGCAACAACTTTTTCTAGAGAAGACTAGCCGGGTTGTAGAGGAACTGCTCCTATATTATTTCTAGGGAAGACAAGTCGCGTTGTAGAAGAACTGCTCCCATACCAAGACCGCTAGCGTCGGTATGGAGGATAGTCAGTGCGGCTTCGTCAAAGTGGCAGAGCAGAGGTTCAGATGTGAGGGCCCGCTTCAACACGTGGTTGACATTCTTGAGACCACAGAAAGGAAACGTGGGAAGCAAGTAGCTGGTGTAATGGAGCAACAATAGAGGCGAAGTTTTGGATAAACTGGCGAAAATAAGAGGCGAGGCCAAGAAAACTGCGAAGCTCCTTTGGTCTTTCGGGACGCGGAAAGTTAAGGACTGCAGAAATCGTGTCAGGGTCGGGCCGAATGCCATCTTTGCTCACGACGTGTCCTAAGACCTTGATAGATCTGCTAGCGAAAGAGCATTTCTTAGTGTTTATTTGGAGCACAGCACCGGCAAGGCACGTCAGAACTTGATCCAATCGTTCTAGGTGCTCAGGAAATGTTGACAAAAAGATAATAATGTCGTCCTAGGTAGCAAAGGCAACTTTTTCATTTCAGGCCGCACAGCACGGTGTCTATCATGGGCTCAAAAGTCGCGGGTGCGTTGCAGAGCCAGAAAGGCATCACGTTGAATTTGTATGGCTCATCGGTGGTTGCGAACGCCTTTTTATCTTTATCGTCTTCATGCATGGAAATCTGCCAGTACTCAAAACGCAAGTCGATGCTTGAAAAAAATTCCGCGCCTTGTAGGAAATTAATGGCGTTGTCAATGCATGGCATAGGGTACACGTCCTTGCGTGTGATCTTATTGAGCGCTCGGTAGTCCACGCCAAAATACACATGGCGATCCTTTTTACGGACCAAAGCAATAGGAGGCGACCAAGGGCTAGATGAGGGACGGATGACTTGCCGTTTAAGCATGTCAGCAACGATTTTTTCAATAATTTTTCTTTCAGCTAGAGACACGCGGTAGGGTCGGCGATGTACGATAGATGTCCCAACTGTTTGAATTCGATGTCCTGTAGTAGTAGTGCGGCCCAGCTTAGGCGAGCAAATATCGAAAGAATTTGCGTGCTTCTGTAACAATGCGAGCAGCTGCTGCGTCTGTGAATTTGTCAAGATGCTGCTGATAGCGGTGATGCGATGGCCCGAAGTGGCATGACAAATACAGGCTCGAAGTCGGCAACACGGGCCACAGTAGTGCCCTGTGGCAGTAAGATCTTCTCCGGGGTAGAGTTTACAGCGGTGACAAGTGCAGAGCCATTGCAAAAACGAACGACACCGGATGGAAGAACTATGCCTTACCGAACGCAAAGTGGTGACGGGGAGACCAATACATCACCGTGATAGATGTCGTTGGGCGTAATGCTGACAATTTGTTCTTGTAGTGGCGGCAGTTCGATGTCTTTTGCAGCGGCCAGATGAAGTGGCTTTTGATTGTCGTCGTCAAGCATGTAGTCAGTGTCAGTAAGGTGAACGACGCGTTGTCCATAACAAACAGCCGTGGAAGCACATGATAGGAAGTCCCACCCTCAAATTAGTCAGTTAGAGCAGCGGGACAGGACAGCAAACTGGACATGATGGCGGAGGTCGTCGATGAAAACACGTACAGTGCAAAACGAGGAAAAGCGAATGACGTTACTCTGGGCAGCAACTAACGTGGGGCAATCGTAAAGCGTCATTACTTTCCTTGAATGTTCACACAAATCAGCACGTATAACAGACAATGTCGCACCTCTGTTCACCAAAGCATCGACTCGCACTTCTTCTACTTCCACAGAAACCATGTTACACGAGCCTGATGAAGGAATTTCAGTTCAAATTTCAAATGCAGTTTTTCCTCTACAAACTGCATCATTTAGTTTTCCGAATGAATATCAGAGGAGAATGAGGCGGACCGAGGTGGAGAAGTGGAACGGCGGAAGGGCGAAGGCGAGCGGCGTCTCGTGTTTCGGCTGTTCGCCGGTGCAGTCGATGCCAGAGGAGATGGAGACCGGTGCGGAAAAGACGAATAACGCCAACCTTGATGAGAGGCCCCAGTGTACAAATCCCGTTCACGCATGTCGTTCTGACGCTAATCTTGCTGGCGCTTTTGGCAGAAACGAGATATGTGGCCGCGATAGCCGCAGTAGTAGCAGACAGGGTGGGACAAGTGCCAGGGTGGGGAGTAGAAGGCGTTCGGGGCCCCTGGAGATAGCGCGGTCAGGTGGGCCGAAGAAGGGTCAGAAGGCATCGAACAGGTAGTCACCGGAGGAGCGGCAGCAACCGACGCCTAGGTTGGCAGCGGCTATGTCCCGTGTACATCACTGAGAGGCACGGCAGCAACTTGAGAGTAGGTGGATATGGGACATGAAGCAGGTTGCACCTGTGTGTACAGGCGCAGAGCCGGTCAGGGATGTAAGTTCCTCCCTGACGATGTCACGCAAGGGCACTCCCGATGACTGTGTAGGACGCGGTGCAGGAGGTGTGAAGCCCATAGACCACAACTTTTCGCGTATAATGTCCCGGATGAGGTTATGCAGGTGGCCATGAGACGTGGAGTGATGGTCGTCAATGTCCGGTTGTAGACAAACGGAGTCCAGTGCATCAAGGTGCTGGCACGCCGTTATGAAATCAGCGATGATAACTGGGTTTTGCACAGTGAGGGCATTAAAGGCAACAGGCCCATGCCTTTCAATATGTGGCGCATTTTGTCCGATTCCGGCATAGATTGATTGACACGCCGGCACAGTGCGAGGACATCTTTGATGTATGAAGTGTACGATTCACCGGGATATTGTCGGCGAGTATCGAGTGTCCTCTTCGCGACAGCAGATCGAATGTCCGGTGTCTCGAAAACGTGTCGCAGCTGCTGCTGGAAGGTAGCCCAGTCGGGTAAGTCAATGACGTGGTTAAAATACCATGTCTTCGCAACTCCGGTCAGATAAAAAGGGACGTAACGCAGTTTGGCGGCCTCGTCCCACCGATTAGCGACACACGATCATAGTCATCGAGCCAGTGTTTTACGTCTTCTCCACGAAGACCAGCGAAGAGCGGGGGTTCCCACTGATGTCTGTGTATGTAAATAGGAGGGGCAGCTTGCGGGGGTGCGTGGTTGATGACATCAGCAGCCGGAAGGCTCGGTCTGGGACATGCTGCCTGACAGTGGGCGCAATCGGCGGCCTGAATGAAGCTTCAGGGGGTAGAGCGGGCTGCGGGAGGTCAGAGGAACGAAAAATCCATCTCCACCATGTATGAAGTCTCGGTAGTCTTGGTTGCGACAGCGTTTATTTGAGGAAAGACCTCGCAAAACGAACGGGCAGAGCCAGTATACAGACGATGACGAGGATGATGGCACAGAGTGGCCATGAGGAAGAGGCAAGTGGATGATGGTGATTATAATAATTCAGGGATGAGAACGATGTAAGTAACAAACGCCCACAATATATTTATATATATATATATATATTCTGGCTGACGAGTGAGGTAGCTTTGCTCCCCCCACTCGTGAAAAAGTTGGTATGCCACTGAACAAGCCAGCAAGCTAGTAAGCTTGTCCCACGAATCAGCGGCATTCCGTGTCGATGCCCACATTGCAATGTCTGGAACAATCTGAGGTGTAGGTATTGGTGAAGTGCATTGAAGCTGTACTTTTTGCTATCGTCACCAGTATCGACAATGTCGATTGACGCCAAGAAAGAAAACACCGGAGAAACGCCAGCAAAAACACTGTATGTACATCGGCCTTTGTGATGCCACCTTGTGTGTTACGAACATTTGCAGAACAGCTCCAACAGAATGGTAGTCATGCTGAAGTAAGGCAGGCTCACATACGTGCCCAGTTACAGAAAGAACATGCTGCTATCCGTGTGAGAAATACGGCAGCTCATTACTAATTTGACCATGTTCACTACGTTTTGTATGGTTCCTAAATCTCCTAGCCTTACTTCGTTTAACAGTTCGATGTGTTGCTATCGCATCCATTGGTTCGGCCTAGGGCTGGAACTGTGACTTTTTAGTTAGTGCAGTAACGCATATCCTCTACTTTGAGTCACACGAGTTTTGAGGTGACATAAAAGCAAAGAGAACTGTATCACCCATGCGTAAGAAGGGGTTGATTCGTGCCTTTTATTTTTGGACATCATTACTGTCTCTCTTGCAAGAGCACCTGCTGTTTCCAACAAGTAGTGATAAAAAGTGAAAAAGCTCGAACTGAAATGGCTACTGCAGAAATTTTAGGTGAATATCAATAGGACTTGCACCCCTTTAGCTTGTGGCAGTATAACAGCCTGCCGAAGAATAACCATCATCAGTTCACAGATGATTACACATATGGCATCACTTGCAGCAGTGTCCAATGAGGACACCTGATCCGAATGGGCAGATTGTGCATCTTGAATGGTATGGATCCAGTAAGCAGATTAAGTGCAGCATTAACGTGTTTCAACATAGCAAAGAGGAACAGGCTACTTGAAATGCCTCCTGCATCTCCAGGTTGTAAAGGCATTCATTCCTTCGAGATTGTGTATAGTTGTAGATGACCGCAATGGTTACCAGTCTGAAGCAATTTGACATACGTGGAACGAATGACAATGCTCTAATACCTCCTTAGCTAACACCTTGCCAAAAAAAATTTAATGCTATGTTTAGTTAACTTTCGCCCTAGGTGCCGCTCATAGAGACTTGTGAGCTAAACGCACAAGTCTAAAGTGTGCTAATCTCGGGTGCCCACAACTGAGCCACAGTCGTCTAAGCCCATGAGAAGTCAATATGCCGAATCTCCCACTACAATTATTTTCCCAACATTTCTTTAGCATAGTGTCACCTAGTTGCTCTTTGTGTAACTCTTCTCTTTGGCTTAATGGCACATCCCTCTCCTAATTCATTAATTTATTTCCAACAATCAAAAATGTACATGTTTCCCAGAAACTTCCTCTTCCAAAATAAGAATGCATACCACTTCTTCTGGTTTCTCATCTGATTGTTCTACCTCGTGAGCAGACTCGGCTGGTGCTCTACAGAGTGCCAGAGAGCTGTTAACCTTGAACAAAAGTTTCCAATCTTCCTTGGTCAATAAGCAATCGGTGCTGTCAATGAGCTCATTGGTTAATACACAGAGTAGGTGAACACTCAAAGGCTCCACAACCTCTTTCGGGCAATTTCATTTGATTGGCGATGTAGCTAAATTTGTGGTGTCAATGAGCTCATTGGTTAACACCCTGAGTAGGTGAACACTCAGATGCTCCACAACCTCTTCTGGGCAATTTCATTTGATCAACGATGTAGCTAGCCTTGCCTCGATAGTTTTATAAAAAGCAGACACCAATTGCACTTTGCCTGGCTCTACTAGACTTCCTGAAAATTACTTAAGTGTTCTGCACACGACAGAACAAGACGTTGAAATTCCAGAACCATTCTCTTGCATTCTTTCTTTTTATGGTGGGGTTGTGGCTGTTAATCCGGAAATGGCCATACCCACACAATCAGGAGCATTGCTAAAACTTCTGGACTTTCTTAGGCAAATCGAAAGAGTTCGTATGCAGGCAAAAGACTGATATTTCCATTGAATAAATCTGTGGCACAATGTCAACATATCAGCATACTTTACACAAAGCTTATGAGTCAATTTTGAAACATATTAGTTGAGCAACACAGCAGCTAGCAAAATAAAAAAACAGAGGTTATGGGCACCCAACATGAAGTGTGCCTACACATTTTCCATCTTTTCGTGCACACCAGGATTGTATTACATAACCTTCCAAAGTGCAGGTTGTGTCTATTGCTAAAATTAGTGCAACTGGAAAAATTTCAAGGCTGGTAAAGCATTTCGGCACTGGCATGTTCAAGGTTTCACACCCCTGCAATATTAAAAAATAGTAAGTAGTGCTGCTGGTAGCCCAGTGAAAAAACAAAACAAAAAACAAACAAACAAGGAATGGTCTGCAGCATGTGGCATGAAGCTGCAAGACACATCAGTTAGGCCCAGATCTTGCAGCAGTGAGAAAAGTATTTGTTGCTAGCAGCCTCCATGCCTGTTTTGAAGGCTTCACCCATCCTCCTGCCCCGAGCTTAAGAACTACAGCAACACATCGCATTTATACACAAACAAGACTTTCAAAGTTTCAAAACGCATAAACCAGTGAGTAACTACAGCTGTGTTGGATAACTGGTCCGCTCAGTGTCTCTCTTTTCCTAAATTATGCCTCTTCGTGGATGCTACTTAAAGAAGTCCAGGTGCGCTAGCTGCTGAGGCAGAAACGGCTTGCTACGTCCCTCTGCACGTTGTCCAGGGCTCGCGTGGTTTCGCAAGTGCACAGGCACTGCTGGCAGGGGTCCCTCCTGTTTCTGGACAGCCTCTTCTGCACGTGCGTACGCATTGTACGTCTCGCGTGACTTGGGTGCTCTTGCACAGTACGTAGCACAGTGGGAAAGCATGATCTGCACGAGACAACCAATGGACAGCTACTCATGACGCTGCTGCTGTTATTCAATAGCAGTGAAATGTGATGATAGTGCTGCGGGGAGTGATAATATGTCAGCTGATTTTGACACAACAAAGACAATTGAGTTACCCAGTGTCGGAACTAAAAGAAAGGGGATAACAACATACAGTAAAGCCTTGTTCATTTGAATTTCAAGGGACCAGAAAAAATGTACAGAGTAACCTAATGCCAAATCACCTTAGCATCTAGAAAACAATAGGCAAATGTCAGTTACACCAATACATTTTCATATTCTTGATGAATACTTGCATAAGACAGCACTGTAAAAGCTTCAATTTTCATCGCCCTAGTAATTTGCTCCCAAAGCAACCATAACGCTAATCTCCTGTGTTTTCTTAGCCCGAAATGTGCTTTTCATCCCTCCCACATGATGTAACGCCACTACATGCACATGAAGATAATTCTTTCGCAGGTAAATTGACTGGCAACTGACAGTTCATGCATCGCGGAATAGCCAACGTGTTTTATGTGAGCGTACCGACCGCAGCTGAAAGCTGCATCTTCAAAGGCTTCAAAGGCTTCCATTAGTTTTGTGACACTGCACGCACATTGCATAAAGTATAAACAAAGCTGCCGCATGCTAGATCCGCATTTGAACAAAACTTTGGTTGCTAACTGATGAAGATGATGGGACAGCATCTGGTTTCAGTTGCTTACGAGCACTGTTGTCACTCTTTTACATCACACATTCGTAGTGCTTCACTCTTGATACGGTCTGAGCTTTATCTGCATCATCTGGTTTGTTGCTAAACGTGACTGAATTAATAAGAGTTCGACTGGAGGTATCACAGCACAAGATAAGAAGCAGACAAAGAAGGGCAATGCAGTATTTTCTTGTTCCTATGTTATTTTGCACTTCGTCACCTCCAATGTTCAACCATTACATCCAAGCTTTAATGCTAAGTTTAGTGCATTAAATGATGCATACGCTGGCTGTGACCAGGGGAGATGTTCGAATTACCGAATTTTTCTAATTAATGACAGTCAAACTGCTGAGCTTTCACTTAAGCAATATAATCTTCTTTCATTTGAAAGTACACATACGTAAGTACAGCAATACCTCGTTAACTCGAACTCACATATTTCGAAAACTCGGCTAAGTCGAAATTTTCTGCGACACTGAACATTTTCCTATATGTTCCATGTATATTTTTCTCTTTATCTCGAAGTATTTTTGGGCCAGATGGCGAATAACTGGAAATCTATCTTGACTGGGAGTGGAAATTTTCACCGCCAAACCATTTCACATTTGTGCAATGATTCCACACCTCAAGTCTGTCAATTTTTTTTATTTATTCAATCGCACCTGCCACTACATTCATGCTTTCCGCTAACGCGAAGTCTCAGCCCAGCGACATATAAACTTTGTCAAGCGACCCTGTGGCACATCATGTGACACATGCGCTGAGCAGGGAGACCCTCTGCCCACGCTTGGCATAGTTTGTCTCGTTCACTTTGTGCAGTGCACATGACTTTCCCTCAGATGTGATTTCCTTTCATCTGCGCAAATTTAGAGGTATGAATTTTTCACCCGCTGAGAGGATCGAGAACTTGGCCTGAATGCAGCAAGCACGGCATCAAAGCAGTATAGTTGCTAACGCTAGAAAAAAGAAGGTTGCCCTAATTAAGTAAGTAGAGAAAGGAGGCCAAACGAAATCAAGCATTGTACAGAAATTAGGCATCCCTTTGTCCATGTTTTTGACGGTACTAAAAGCAAGCAGAAGGTGCTGGATGGATTTCAGCAGGACTTCTGCACGAAGTGGAAGTGGGCTTGAGGGCGAAAGTTCCCAGACGTTGAAGCAGCCTTGATGGTATGGTAAAACTTCTTTTGGGCCTAGTTGGTTCATAGCCATAGAATATACTTTTACAGCGCAAACATAAAACGATCCACAAAGAAAGCGCTGGTGTGTGTCGTCGCTTTCTTTGTGGATCGTTTTATGTTTGCGCTGTAAAAGTATATTCTATTGATGGTATGGTTTTGGAATAAAGTCAAGTGCAGCGGCAGAGAAGATCAACTGATGCGATGCCTCAAGCAGCTCAGGGACACCTTCCTAGGCCCGAGTATGACCGCAAAACAGACAAGCATTCAGCAGTTTTTCTCTGCTAAATAAAATGGCAGCATGGCGATACCCAGCCAGTTAAAGTCTCTTGTATGTTATTTTTTTCTCTTTTGAACCTGCACGAGAAGAAAGATCAGAAACTGCTGCTGAAGAACCAGTGAGTAGTAGTGATATTAAGAAAAAGCGCATAATTTCCCCGGCAATTAGCACATCTTTGCTTATGTCAAAAATCCGTTTATCTTGAAATTTTTCCTGGTTTTTATGACTTCGAGTTAACGAAGCATTACTGTACTGTCATCTTGAGAACTTATTTGGAGTGAACAATAAAGTGCTGCTTAGCACCTCTTCTGAACGAGAAGCACAGAAAACCACCGAGAGACTGCTTGGTGCATAAAACATTACAGTGAATGCTTAGTTCTGTTGTGCAATAACAGAGCGGTTATTGTGCCCAGCTCATCTTCAGAAAATCATATATTAGTGCAGTGTGGAAATGGGGCCGTATTCAGGAGTGAAACAAACAAAATAGAATTTGGAGCAATTTTTGAAACAGCAAAAGTTACTTTTGGAGCAGAAGAACCCAAATTTGGTGCAGGTTACGGTCAACAAAACATTCATTTTTTTATCAAGAAAGACAGAATCTGGAACTGTTGTATTTGTTTCGTTTGTAACGCCAGCGAAAACCAGCTGCGCGCGCACCATTTCGTTTGGGCCCTGTGCGCCTTCATTCTCCCTCTTTCCCTCCTTCCCTTCACCCTCTTCTAATGCCAATGTATATAACCACGCTGCGGACAATAAACGCTGTCGTTGACTGCCCGACCATCATCCTTGCTGCTTCGCTGCGCGCGCCTGTGTTACTACAGTGGCGACGAGCCCGGAAACCGCCCATGCTGCCGTGAAAGTTGAAGCCGACGGCCTGCCGCAACAAGTACCGGCGACCATGACCAGCCTCCAGCTCCCGGTTTTCGACGACACAAGAGATAAGTGGAAACCATACCTTGTTCGGGCTGAAGCGTATTTTGAAGCAAATGCTATTGCTGACTCCAAAAGGCAGAGAGCACTTCTGGTGGCAGCACTCAGCACGCAGACTGTGCAAGTGCTAGCGGGGCTAATTGCACCTCGGACGCCGAATTCCCTTACTTACGCCGAAGCGGTCGCAGCATTAAATGACTACTACGATCCCAAGCGTCACGAGATTGCAGAAAGCTACAAGTTTTTTACCCGTTGCCAACAAGAAGGGGAGTCGGTGCACGCATTCCTAGTCGAAATACGGCGCATAGCAGACAATTGCAACTTCGGAAGTGCGCTGAACCGGATGTTGAGGGACAGGATTGTTTGCGGCGTACGCTCAATTAACTTGCGCAAGCAGTTACTGGCACATAAAGATTTAACCCTCGAGGAGGCTGAATCAATGTCCATTGCAGCCGAGGCAACCGACAGCGATGCAAAAATATGAGTGCAGAGCCGCCGACTGTGTTAAAAATGCAAGCCCATCATCGCTCGCCCTCTCGAGGTAATCGTACACTAGGCGCGTCGCATGACTGCGGCTGATGTGGAAGCACGAAGCACGACGATAACGCCTGCCGCTGGGTTAACGCACGCTGCTATCACTGTGGGCGGCGCGGTCATTTGGCAAAGAAATGCTACAGTGCTCCAACTGATGCAAAGGTGGGAAGGCGGGCAGCGAGTGTAAAGGCACTGACAGTTGAAAGCGTGTCTAGCAACGACGACCTGGATAGCGCAACGTTTGGACGTTGATTTCGGGAAGAAAAAACGGTTTCGAACCACCCATACGCCGCACGTTTCGATGGGGCAACGTAGACCTTGCCATGGAGGTAGATACTGGTTCCCCGGTGTGCGTCGTATCGCGCCAAGTGTACGATCGACACCACGCACAGTGGCCGCGCTTACAACCACCACGAATCAAGCTGTCATGTTACGCGGGACAGCTTCCGGTGTTGGGGGAACTCGAACTCCCAGTGAAGTATCAAAATGTATCTGTGCCTTGCCCGCTCATCGTGCTTGACTGTGCAGGACCCAGCCTATGTGGCCGCGATCTCATTGCTTTGCTTAGCAAGACGGGCGTTCCCATTGGAGACCTGACTGCGCTGGACCCTACAGCAAGCGCCGAGCCAAGCGACTCTATGCTGAACCGACTGCTCGGCAAGTTCGAGGATGTTTTCTCAACAGACCTTGGACTAATCAAAGGTCCACCAGCCAGCCTAAAACTCAAGGAGACAGCGACACCGAAATTCTGTAAGCCCAGATCTCTTCCTTACGCCCTCCGCGATAAGGTCTCTCGTGAAATTGATCGGCTGGCGTCACTTGGGGTTCTATCGCCCGTGCAACATGCAGAATGGGCTACACCTATTGTGGTCGTTTTGAAAAAGGACGGGAGCGTGAGGATATGCGGTGACTTTAAGGTTAACCTTAACCCGGCATGTGAGGTGGAGCGTTACCCTCTTTCGGTGATAGAGGACATGTTCGCAAGCTTAAACGGAGGCGAATATTTCAGCATCTTAGACTTAAAAGATGCATACAATCAAGTGCCCCTTGACGAAGCGTCCAGCGGGCTGTGTGTCATTAACACGCACCGAGGGCTTTTCCGGTATAACAGACTTCCGTTTGGAATAGCTTCCGCACCGGCCATTTTTCAAAGAAAGATGGATGCAGTACTCGGCGGGCTGCTGGGTGTTCAAGCCTACCTTGACGACGTGTTAGTGTCAGAAGGCAAGAGTGATAACGGAGAGCAGCTCAAGAGAGTGTTGGAGCGGTTCCGAGAGCACGGCGTTAAACTTAGGATTGACAAGTGCAAGCTTCGGCAACCTTCTGTGACTTACCTTGGCCATCGTATAGATCGGCAAGGCCTCCACCCCAT